AGCTAATGATGTTGGTTCTTCCCAAAAAGTATTTATTGAGCACCATTTTCTGTGTATGTATAATGATAATTGTGATTAATAAAAGTCAAACTCATTAAGCCAAAAGAAAAATGATGTAGGTCATTTTCCCACCACCCCCAAATTTATGATGTCAAGGATGCCACATGGAAGTGTAAAATGCCACATAGGGGATGAGATGATTACCATGGCTCCAACCTGGGAAATAGTTGCTTTTCTTGACCAAGTGCCATACAGGTCTTTTACTCGAGCAGTAGTGGGTGAAAGACTCAGGTGGGGTTTCCTAAATTTACAAATCTGGCTACTTGCCATTCCTCAGGGTGCCTGGGAGTTGCCACCCTGGTGTAGCCCTACAAATGTGCCTTGCAGAAATCCCTTCCCTCTCTTGGTAAGAGAAGCACAGTGAATTCTGGAATAAGAATTAATATAGTTTCAAAAAAGAGGGCTCATAAAATAAGTGGAAGACCAGGCCCACTACCCGGAAAAGGTGGGTGACATTAATGAGCTCTCTCTGGGGAGGAATGTTTTGAGTTTGAGGAGTGTGGATCAGGTACCTCATGTATATATGAAACTTTCTTAGTGTCAGATATGAAAACATCTAAATCACAGGAAGCTGAATCATAATGGCTGTATTCTGAAACAGCAAGCAGCTGTTTTTAACCATCATGTGGGTCTCAGATTCCTTTGAGGAAATATGTATGGACACAAAATTTTGCCAATAACCTTAAGAAGCTCATAGGTCACCCCTCCTCTACATGAAGAACTCTGCTCTCTATGATGGTCCCGGAGATGTACCAGAATGCTTTAGTCTAACGTGTGTTAAAGATTTCTTTTCTCTTCTGGAGCAAAATACAAGCTCTATTGTAACCTTGTTCTGCAACAAAGACTGCAGTGAGAGCCTGCTCAGCAGTTTCAGCAGATAATTTTTAGTTCAGAGTCTCCGTGAAATGATTCTAAATGTAAAACAACTTTCAAATACTATAGTTAGTCATTTGCTTTTTTATGATCCTAATGTCTTTCAGTTGTGAAAATAAAACAGTCATGTTAACACAAACCTATACACTGAAAAATGGATAGAGACAGATATAGGTGCTTGGGGTGGGGGGTGGGGGGGGCGGGACAGGAAGTGGTAACAGACTATAAAGCATGCTCTGGGAAATGAGACATTTTTATTTAGTGCTTTCCTATCCTACAGGTAAAACCTCTGCAGTTGGAGAGAATTTTGATAGAAAAAGGCTATGCTGTTTTAGTTAAAAATGGGAATGAAAATACATCTAGCCTATACAGAAGCAACATTCTTCCGGTTTACTGTTCACTAGTTTCCAAGAGTAGTAGGTAGACTGAGCTATGTGGAAATGTTTGGAGGGGCTCCATGCTAGGACTTTTGCGCATATGGCTTCTAAACTTCGCTTTCCTCAGGTGTATAAGGGTGATGATAACCTATTCCTTCCAGTTTTGAGGAAGGAAGAAACCAAAAAACAACTCTAACTCTTGATTTTGTTGTCAATGCAGTAATTTTTAAGTTGGCTATCATCCATTCACTTTTTCATTCAGAGAAATTGTGTGGTTTTTCTGAATTCTATATCCCTCTATATTCACTATTATAGGAGTTCGGGACCAAGTACTCTAGAGAGGAAGCATTCTTAGTATTTTTCAAAGCAAGATAGTCTAAAATTAAACAATGTATTGACTTTGCTGGATCTGAAATCCTTGCCATGGCCTGCAGTGCCTGGCCCCTCCACTCCCTGATTTCGTCCGTCTGTTCCCCTTCTCAGCACGCTCTAGTCACACTGGCTGCTTCCTAAATCACCCCAAGGCACACTTCTTCTCATCTTAGGACCTTGGTTTCTATCCCCGTGATTCTTTGCTTGCACAGTTTCTTCTCATCATTTAATTAACACGTAATGTCACCCAGCAGAGACATCCTGGCCTCACCGTATACAAAAATAGCTCCTTCTATTCACTAACATATCTCCTTACATATTTCCTTCATAGACTTTATGGCTATCTGAAATTATGTTTTTTACCATATTTATTTTCTGTTTTCTCCCTCGAAAATGCAGACTGCACAAGAGCAATGACCTTGTTGGGGATCCAGTGAATAAAAGTATCTGTTCTTGTGAGGATAAGGACACATATGTAATAACTTAATCAATAAAGAAATTATTTTAAAAAGTATCTGTTCTGCCTGAGGTGTCAATAATGGCATGCTGAATGAATGAATGAGCCTTTGTCTCACACTGAAATTACATGAGGAAAACCAGGGGTTCTGACTTGTGATTTCAAGTGGTGTGGGGATTTTTTCATAATACTAATTGTTTACTTAGTAAGAATTAGCAAAATGCTGAGCACATAGATAATTTAGTTCAAGTGCTTTACATGTATTAACTAATTTAATTTCTACAATTCTATGGGGTAGGTATTACTATTACTTCCATTTTATAGATGCAGAAATGGTGGTACAGGGAGATTAAGGAACTTGCTTGAGACTACATAGATAGTAGGCTTGGAAGCAGGACTTTGAGCCAGTGCTCTTTACCACCTAGGAGAAGTGCTTGATAAATACACCTTTATCATGTGCCCAGCACTGAGTGCTTCAGCCACATGGTGTCATTCCATCCTCGCTTCTGTCCTCACTTCTTCACTGAGGTAGGTCCTGTCCTTATGCCTTCTCTACGGATGGGGAAGCTGAGGCTTGGAGAGCTTAAGCAACTTGCCCAAGGTCCCATAGTTGGTTAGTGTTGCAAAAGGGAATTGAAAGTAGACAATTGAGTGTAGTGAAATCTATGATCTTAGATGATCGTAGGCATTGTCTCAAATTATAAGAACACTTTGGATTACTCTTGGTACACAGTCATTTTGAAATGTGTGAAGGATGTATTAGCCCTCCTCTCTGACTCAAAGGGTCTTCCATTACTTGGGGATTTGCATTACTTGGCCACAGATTCATAATAAATACAGAATAATCCAACTCAGAGAGATAAACAGGAGAAGCAGAATTTGTATGAATATACCCACTCGCCTGTAAGGTATAAAATAGTTGGCTAAATGTATGTTGCTTCAGAAAGAGCATAAGAATGGGTTTTAGAAATCTAATAACTGTGAAAGGTCAATTTTAGTTTCTAAAATGAACCAGGGTGGAATTATGTATATGTTTATATGTCACTAGGTCCAATTCTTTACTGAGCTGAAATGTGGTGTATGAAGTTTAGCACTACTCTTTTGTGAAACAGTAGTGTTAACAGTTTTGTTTTTTCAGCCCTGAATACTTCCTTAGGGACTTGGAATGAGATGATGGTGTGGCTACATTTTCTCTAATAATCAGTTCCATATCCAAGAGTAGGCATTTTTAGCCACACATGCAAAACCAAGATACTCACAACACAGGAGGGGGAAATAAAAACTCTAAAATTCACACATCGTTACACCGACTTCAAACAAAAGATCCGTGTAAAGAATTATGCCCATATATGTGGAGAGCAAACTTTTTTATTTGAAAAACTCTCTATACCCACTGAAACCAGTTGATTGGAAAATGAGTTCAGCCAATATTACTGAACTCTAAGATTCCAGCATTGTCACGGAACTTGTATTACAAGTGCTCTTACATACGCGATCCTATGTGATCCTACCTGAGCCTGGCTGATGCTCACAATTCCCCATGTGAGTGGGCAGGATGGATGTTATTAAGCCACTTTACAGATGAGGAAATTGAAGTTAATAGAATTTAAAGAGCTTGCCTAGGTCAGCCAGCTAATAAATAGCAGAGCCAGCACCTGAATAAAAGTCTCTGGATTCCAAGTTACATACTTTTTCTGCTGCCCCACCCCTCCCCCTGTCAAAGAGAACCTGTCAGTGGTGCTGTTGTAGGTTCTGAGCATTAATCCTGAAGATTGTTTTACTATCAGGTCTGCTTCTAGAGGGCAGAACCTATGGAGCTTAAAAATTAATGTATTTTTCCCTGGCCAGTGTGGTTCAGTTGGTTAGGCCTTGTCCTGTGCACCAAAGTGTTGCTGGTTCAATTCCCGGTAAGGGAACATGCCCCTGATGGGGGCATACAGAGGGCAGCGATGGATGTTTTGCTCTCACATCAATGTTTCTCTCTCTCTCTCTCTCTCTCTCTCTCTCTCTCTCTCTCCCCTTCCTTTCTCTCTAAAAATCAATAAAAATATGTTTTACTCAGTACTCTCAGCGTGCCTGCTGTTTTGTTGTGTTTCAGCCCTGCCTACTTTAAGTCCGTGAAAGCAGTGAGCAGGACTAACATGATATGGTTTTCAGCTGTTCAAAAACTGTAATTACGTTTTCTCTAGAACCTCTGGCAGCTTCTCTTTGTACCCAACGTGACAGAAACTGGCAGGATGGCATTTCACAGTGATTCTTGTTTCTCTTCTCACCGCCTGTGTGCCCTGGGATCCAGCAGACACTTTATGTCTCAGACTCATTGTCCTTTTACCCACTGTCCTTCCTACTGCTTCAATTTTTATTGTTTCCTCCAGGTTTTGAAAGAGTTGCAAAATTTCTCTAATGTAAGTGTTTACTCAGGGAATGGAATGGACAGATATGCGGTTCAGTAACTTCAGCTGAACAAGTCTCCAAACTGTGGTTGTTAGGAAGTGAGGTGATTCAGCAGGAAGTGAAGTGGGCCAGCCTGAGGCAGTGTTAGGGGGGTGGGGATGGGGGAATGGGGAGTGGTGGTGCAGCCAGGCCAGTACTGGCTGCTTGTTCTTCTGGAACCCAAATGGCCACTGGATGTCCTGCTAAAACTCAACTGGCTAGTGCAGAGGCCTGACCAGTAGAAGGCAGCCATTGCTTAACTCTCATCTGATCAGAAAGAATACAGTTCCCACATAGGCACTGGCCCTACAGAACAGGTAGATGGTTCAATATATTTGAATAATTAAGCTTTCCAAAGAGAAGCAAAACATACTCCTATTGACATGTAAAATGCATATAAACTCAACTAGTCCCTCTTTTCATTGTAGATATATGAGTTTTGGACTTGCCCAGACCCAAGGTCAGAATGCTGCTCTTCTGTCATGCTCTAGCTGTAGCAGTTGTCCAGATCTTTATCTTCTCAGAAAACCGGGCCTTTGCCAAGAACATCAACTTCTATAACGTGAGGCCTCCTCTCGACCGTAAGTAGTGGTTACCATTGTAGGTCATGACTGTGGAGCCAGAATGCCTATTTGAAGTTCCTGTTTCCACCTATAGTAACTTTGCCTTTTCGAGACCATTTGGTTTAATACCTCGAATAAGACAGAAAGTCTTCACTGCTTCTGACATTCTCTCCATTTCTTTAAAATGCTTTGGCTTCCTGTTGAAGTCTCAAAAGGGTTCTTGTTTAAGATAATCTCTTGAGCACTGTGCCTAAGAATGGCAGAGGAAGTTCAGTGTTCTTTGTTCCTCTCTTCACTGGAGGAGGATATTGGCTGTAGGAAGTTTCTGCATCAATGATATATTCTATCAATGGCCATTAACATTTTGTTTTTTAATCCTCACCTGAGGATATGTTTTTATTTTATTGATTTTTGGAGAGAGAGGAAGGGGGAGAGAGAGGGAAAGAAACATCAATGTGTGAGAGAAACAGTGATCAGTTGCCTCCCATACCTGCCCCAACTAGGTGATCAAGCCCACAACCTTCTGTTGTACCGGACAAGGATCCAACCAACTGAGCCACCTGGCCAGGGCTCAATGACCATTAACAATCTTGAAAACAGATTAGTATGTGTAAAATTTGGAGGAAATATACTTGGACTTTCATGAATATTATGCGCAGTTAGGAAAGGCTGTAAAACTCAGCTTTCCCACTAATAACTTAAAAATAAACAAATAGCATATCTTATCTATATGATGATTTATATTTTTATATACATATATGTGTGTGCATATGTGCTTGTATACATATGTCATCTCCCCTCCTTTCTCTCTCTTCAGACAAGTAAAACTTATCTACTTCTCTGATATACTTTATTAGAGAGAGGTTGTTATAGATAAAATTTGTTGGTAGAAATGTGAATGCCTGTGGTTCCCACACCTGAAAGAGTATCAGAATCATGATAAATGCCTTTAAAACTAAACATTCCTGGGTCCCTTCTCCAGAGATTCAATAGTCAGGAGGGTGGGCTATAAATTATATTTTTCTTTTCTTTTTCCCCTCCCTCTTCTTTTAAAATAGCTCTCCTGAGACTATATATACACAGCCAGGCTTGGGAACCACAGTCTTTACACAACTCCTAAAGAGAGCCTGTGTCATTATAGATTTCCACTTTGGACTTTTTTTATTATTTAGGACATTCATTCACCAGCATTAAGTAGTAGTATTTTGTTTTTAGATTTTAAGAAAAATTTCTATTACAGTTGATATACAATATTATATTGGTTTCAGGTATACAGCTTAGTGGTTAGACATTTGTATAACTTATGAAGTGATCCCCCAATATGTCTGGTACCCATCTGACACCATACATAGTTATTGGAATATTACTGACTACTAGAGGCCAGGTGCACCAAATTCGTGCACTTGGGGGGGGTGTCCCCTCAGCCCGGATTACGAGAGGGTGCAGGCCAGGCCAAGGGACCCCACTGGAGCACGATCGGGGCTGGGGAGGGACATGGGAGGTTGGCCAGCCAGGGAGGGACCATAGGAGGACTCCAGGGCATGTCTGGCCCATCTCCCTCAGTCCCAATCAGCCGGACCCCAGCAGCAAGCTAACCTACCAGTCAGAGTGTCTGTCCTCTGGTGGTCAGTGCATATCATAGCAACTGATCGGCCAGTCGACTGTCTACCCCTTGGTGGTTAGTGCATGTCATAGTGACTGTTTGACTGGTTGACTATCTGCCTCCTGGTGGTCAGTGCATGTCATAGCGAGCGGTTGAGCAGCCTTAGCATATCATTAGCAGATTATACTTTGATTGGTTGAACAGATGACCAGACGACCAGACCCTTCGCATGTTCGGCTTTTATTATATAGGATATTTCCTATGCTGTACTTTACATCCCTGTGCCTTTTTATAACTAGCAATTTATACTTCTTAACCCTTTCCCTTTTGTTACTGAAGTGTTAGTAATTTTAAAACTGTGCTGCTTTAATAGGCAAAAATGAATTTCATTACTTCTTTTTTGCCTATCTAATTCACTTCTATACATAGGCAAAACTGAAATGTATTTGTAATACTTAATTTCATGTCCTCTGAACTGTCACCTTTGGTATGTCACTCTTGTTTTATGCATCAATATTTATCCTCTCCTGTATCTTCAGTACCCGCTGCTTTCTAATTATCATCCCAACTGTGGTCAGGTTACTAGGATGGTTTGGGGTGAAAGTTTCACACAGGGCTTTATACACTGGCTTATAGAAAAATGTTAAATTTATTGTACTTTTTATTTTGTGCCCATGAAAATAACAAGATAAAAGATAGGAAAAAAGCATAAAGACAAAAAAGAGAAATGAATATACTAGTTGCTCTCAAACCAGACTGCCAGCAGCTCCTAATTCCTTCTTTCCATTATACCCTGGCCTGAGCATAGGGTCTGAGAATTACTATCATCCTTGTATTAAATGATCCATTCTTAGTTGAGGTCTAATGCAATAATTGACATATACAAATGAGATTGTTTGATTGCGGTTAAATGCAGCTGTAATGGAAGTACATGTGGATGGAAACCAGAATGATTTGATGTGCCGGGGACTCCATTAGATATTTTTCTTGCCACCGCCTGTTCAATTTTCACTATACCTCTGCAAGTCATGGGGACCTTTATTGTTACTATTATTATGCATAGTATTATTTCTTTGAAGTTAAAAATGATGCAACTAATTAGTGGGAAGGGAAGAGTTCAAGCTCAGGTTAATCTGACTCCAGTTCTTTTCAGGAATGAAACCATATCAAATTATTGGCTCCAATGCTGCCTCCACCCTTACCCATCCCCATATCCCCTTAATCCCCATTATTCCCAAGTTATAAATTATTATAGAACAATACCATGAATATTTCAAAGTGGCTTGTGGAATGATTTTTATTACTCTTTAATAGATATTTATAGGTGAAATATTTAAAGAAAAGGGAATAAAGAAATTGCCCAGAGTTTGGCAGTTAAGTCTAGCTCCCTAGAAACAGAAATTCTAAGTATAATGGCTTGTAAATTTTGTCTAATCTTATAAAAGTTGCTAATTTTGTGCCATATTTGATGTTAAAAATGTTTGTCTTTTCACTGTGCATTTTTCTTTAAAGCTACACCATTTCCAAACAGCTTCAAGTGTTTTACCTGTGAAAATGCAGGAGATAATTATAACTGCAATCGATGGGCAGAAGACAAGTGGTGTCCACAAAGTAAGTGAGCTGAGTTTGGGAGACTCCTTTGGGATCACATCTCATTTAGGTGTCTCTTGATAAGCCAACAGGTTGATGGTATTCTATAGAAATTAGAGATTTCTCTTAAGAGACCATTGTGACATTAGACTACTCTGAGAACACTTGGAAACTGATGGTGTAGCCTCAATTTGTAGTTGTGTGTTACTTGAGAAAGGATTTCTTAAATAGTATTTACCCAGGAGAAAAAATAGACTACAATGTTGACTAAGGCATTCTAAGAATTTCAGAAATGCTTGATGATATCTCCAGAAAAGTCATACTTACTGGCTAAAGCAGTGGTTCTCAACCTTCTGGCCCTTTAAATACAGTTCCTCATGTGGTGACCCAACCATAAAATTAATTTCGTTGCTACTTCATAACTGTAATGTTGCTACTGTTATGAATCATAATGTAAATATCTGATATGCAGGATGGTCTTAGGCGACCCCTGTGAAAGGGTCGTTCAACCGCCAAAGGGGTCGCGACCCACAGGTTGAGAACCGCTGGGCTAAAGCAAAGGAAAGGTTTTGTATTCTTGAGATACAATGATGGTTGGGGAAGTCTTTTATTCATTTGACAAATGTTTTATATTGTTAGTTCGTTTTGTTCACTGATATAGCCTTAGTTTAATCCAGTGCCTGGCCCATATTAGGCACTCAGTAAGTATTTGTTGACAGAATGAATGGATGCCTTTGATTAGATAGTCAGGGAGTCTTCTCTGAGGAGTGTACATTTGAAAGAAGACCTGAATGACCAAAACAAGCAAGCTACATGGACATCTGTGGGAATAGCATGGTAATAAGAGGGAACAGCAAATGCAAAGGCTACAAGAGGCAAGATTTGGCCTCTTCAGTGAACAGGGAGAAGGCTGGCCAGTGAGGCTTAGTGGAAGAATGTTGAGGAGGTAAGGACTGGGACACACACAGGACCTTCTTTTTCTAATAAAGAGTTTGGATTTTATTGTAAATATGATAGGAAGCTTGTAGAGGGGTTTTAAACTAGAGAATATAAGATGCTAGTTGTGTTCTAAAATATTGCTCTTTGCTATGTGGAGAAAGGATGGTTTGGGACAAGAGTAGAAGGGGACACCAAGTAGGGTATTTTGTTATCTTCAGGTGGAGAAGATGATGACTTGGACCAGGGTGGTAGGTGTAGAGGGGGCAAGAGGTTGAATGATATACAAACATGGAGGTAAAGCAGACAGGATGTCTGATGGATGATTGGGAATTGAGAAACTACTTACAGCTATAAGGAGATCAGACTGTTAGATTTTAGAAGTACCTTTTTTGTTTGTTTGTTTTGTTTTTGGTGTGTGTGTGTGTGTGTGTGTGTGTGTTTTGTTTTTTAGTTTTGCAAATGTAAAAGGCGAAAGAAAACAAACAAACTCTTCCAGAATTAGAGATGACTAGTTTCGGTCTACTATTATCTTGAATCTTTTGGAAATTTCTGCATCAAATTATATATAGCAGTGAAATAGACTTACCTCTTCCAGATAAATAGTACACACTAAAGACCTTAATGCTGCTGGAGACTCTTATGCCATAAAGTAGCACAAGTGATTATGACATATACTCGGGCAGCATTTTTCATTATTTCTTTTCAAGAATAATCAATAACCAAAATATTTTTTGTTGGGGTTCTTTTACATTTCTGTAGAGCAATCCACCTTAAATTGTGTGTGTTTGTGAGTGCATGTGCACACAGGGTGTACACATTTGGGGACTTGTTTTCACATTTTTTTTTGCAGAAATTCATCTCAATTATTGCAGAGTGTTTGAGGATGCCCAGCGCCTCTCTTCACTACCTTATTTCCGAGGGTGGTGTTATTCTTTAACTCTTTGCTTTAAAGCCTCCTGAAAACTGGGCGTTACGGGTTAGAACAGTGTAAATTGGGGCATTGGTGTCCATCCTGTTGTGCCTTAGCTCATTGGAAACTGCTTTCTTTGTTCTTTTGAATTGCCCCAAAACAGTTCCTACTAGGTCTGTGCATAATGCTCCGACTTGTCATTAATTAATCAAATCCATTTTAATGGGATCATACATGGGTATTTCTGGGTTTTATCTGTTGAAAGATGTGAACAAAAGGGGGAAGCTGCTGGTTTCCACCACCAAGAAAACACCAGTGTTGGAAGCGGGAAGACAGTCGGCTCTTCCACATCCACCCTGGGAACCGGAGGGTGACAGGGAGTGACCCTGCATTCCCGCACGCATGCCAGTGCATTCGTGACTGTGCACCAGTCCAGCCGCAAGATGCTAACCATCTGGAATTCTAAGTGAGGGTATCATTTCTTACCTTTCAGTTTGTCATTATTTAGGGAAATGATAGTCAACCATTTCTTGGGGCCAACGGACCTGCAGCTATTGTTCTTTGTCATCTTAGGTTTCCTTTTCACCTCACAGCTTTACTTCTGTGGTCTGCTGGTGTTGTGAAGAGAGGTTCTCTGTGTAACAGGATATGACACGAATGACATTTCTTATTTTATTTACCCTGGCTTTTATTCTGACTTTCTAGGGCTGCTTTAACATGTGTGACATTTCATATGAACACATGCAGCTACCAGTTTTCAATTCTTTGTTTGGAGCGAAGTTGAAATGCCTTTCCAAAACATTTGGTGGTTCCCTTTTCTTCTGAAACCACAAGTCAGCTACTCTTGTCGAGCATGTTACAGCACCATCTAGTTTGACATTAAGTATACCGAGAGGCAGAATAGTGTCTGGTTAAGAGCACAAACCTTGGAAAACTGCCTTGGTTAGAATCCTACCTCCCACCACTTTCTACCTGTGTGACTGTGGACAAGAAACTGTGCTTCAGGCTTTTATTTTATTTTATCTGTAACATGAGGATATTAATATGACTTCTCTTAAGACTTACTCTAAGGATTGAATGAGTGAATACATGTAAAAAGAGTATTTGGCTGGTGATACCCACTCAATATGTGTTCACTATTGTTGTTATTAATTAAATCTTACAACAACCCTGTCAAAATGCCAAGGCACTTATTATCATAATTTACTAAAAAGAAAATGAACCTAAAGCAATTTACACATTCAATGCAACCCCTATCGAAATCCCAATGGCATTTTCACAGAAATAGAACCAAAAAAATCTTTACATTTGTGTGGAACCACAAAAGACCCTGGATAGCAAAAGCAACTCTGAGAAAAAAGAACAAAGCCAGAGGTATCATACTCCCAGATTTCAAACTGTACTAGAAAGCTGTAGTAATCAAAACAGTACAGTATAGTACTTACAGAAAAACTGACATACAGACCAATGAAACAGAATTGAGAGCCCAGAAATAAACCCATATAAATGTGGTCAAATAACTTATGACAAAGGAGAAAAGGATATACAATTAAGAAAGGAAAGTCTCTTCAATAAATGGTATTGGGGAAACTAGACAGTCATATGCAAAAGAATGAAACTTACACCATACATAAAAATTAACTCAAAATGGATTAAAAACTTGATTGCAAGACATGAAGCAATAAAATGCAAAGAAGAAAAACTAAGTTTCTGGACATTGGTCTTATGGGTGTGTTTGCATATTTTACTCCAAAAGCAAGGAAAACAAAAGCAATAATAAACAAATGGGACTACATCAACTTAAAAAGTTTCTGCACAACAAAGGAAACCATCAACAAAACAAAAAGGCAGCAAACCAAATGGAAGAAGATATTTGCAAATGATATTTCCTATAAGGGGATAATATTAAAAATATATAAAGAACCCGTACATTTCAACAACAACAACAACAAAAATCCAATTAAAAAATTGGCAGAGGACCCGAATAGACACTTCTCCCAAGAAGACATACAAATGGCCAACAGATATCTGAAAAGATGCTCAACTTCACTAGCTATAATGTAAATGTAAATCAAAATCACAGTGAGATACCACCTCACTCCTGTTAGAATGGTTATTATCAATAATATAAGAAATAATAAGTATTTTAAAAGATGTGGAGAAAAAGGAACCCTCATTCATTGTAAACAGGTATAGCCATGATGGAAAACAGGATGGAGGTTCTTCAAAAAATTAAGACTAGAACTACCATAGGATCCAGCAATTCCTCTTCTGGGTACTTATCTGAAGAATATGAAAACACTAATTTGTAAAGATGTATGCGCCTCCATGTTCATTACAGCATTATTTACAATAGCCAGGCTATGAAAGCAACCTAAGTGTCCACTGACAGACGAGTGGTTAAAGAAGAGTGGTGCATATATGCAATGGAAAACTACTCAGCCATAAAAAAGATAGAAATATTGAAATATTGCCAATATTTCTTGAGCGTATTGTGCGAAGTGAAATAAATCAGATGGAAAAGAACAAAAAACACATGATTTTATTCATATATGGAATATAAAACCAAAAAGTAACAAACAAAGTAACAAAACAAAACAAAGATAAAGTCATGGATACAACAGATGGGTGGTTACTAGAGGGGAGGTGGGAGGGCAAATTGGGTAAAGGGGCTCAAATATATGCTAACAGAAGGAAACTAGACTTTTCATGGTGAGCACACCGTGTAGTATACAGATGTCAAGTGATAATATTGTACACCTGAAATTTACATAATGTTAAGAACCATTGTTAACTCAGTATTTTTTAAAAATAATAGTAAACATTTTAAAAAAAGAAAATTACCTCAAAGGTGCTAACGTAGCTTGCTTGCTTATGACAAAGGCAATTTCATAAGTCCAGTATTCTCAACTTTAGTCAAATATTTTCCCCCCATTCTATGACGTTGCTGTTGTAGTCCCTTCTCAAAAAACAAAACAGCATTTTACTGGCCTGAGGTAACTATAGAAGAGCTACAGAACTAAAGCGAATGTTCTGGGAGAGTGAGTGAAATCACTCTCTCTAAAGAACCCTAAGTAATAAGATGTGAGTGATTAAAGCTATAAGGATAGGTCCATGTAGAAATGGGTTAGCTATAAAATGGGGGAAGGGGACAGATAAAGTAACAGTTAATTAAAGAAGAGGAGAACATAGAAATACTTTGAGTAAGGAAGGTGGTCTTGATGTGTACTTTGAAGCACCTGCTTTTCATTCCACACGGCCTATTAATGTATCAAATGTTGAATAATGCAACCAGAGTATTCTGATCCATTGCATTTTAAATTCACATTTTCCACTTTATTTTAGGCATAGAACATGTGCTTCAGAGAGAGAGAGATGAGGCAGAGACAGATACTGACACATTCATATGAAATGGGCAAACCTATGGTTCTGATGAAAAGCTTGTCCAGTTTTTTCTCAGTTTTAGCTGGCACCAAAGGATAGGTGCCTGTTTTATATTCATTTTAAAAATGCACGAGTGCTTAAAAAATGAATGTCTTTTAATATATATACATTATACATATATATGTGTGTGTATATATATACACATACATACATACATACACACTATTTCAGAGAAGAAGGAAGAAGGAGAGAGAGATAGAAATATCAATGATGAGAGAACCATTGATTGGCTGGGGATTGAGCCCACAACCCAGGCATGTGCCATGGTGGGGAATCAAATTGTGACCTCCTGGTTCATAGGCTGACACTCAACCACTGAGCCATGCTGTCTGGGCCAAAAGTGAATGCCTTTTTAAAAATACCACCTAGAAACCCTAGAGATCTCTGCCATTGTATTTCTTGCCTAGAAACCTGAGGATCATCCTGAATTTTAGTCATTTCTGAAGTGATTGTTGAGTGTCTTTTTTCCAATGTGAAAAATGAAGTCGTCTTTTCTTTTCCTCCTGCCTAGACACACAGTACTGTTTGACAGTTCATCACTTTACCAGTCATGGAAGAAGTACATCCATCACCAAAAAATGTGCCTCCAGAAGTGAATGTCATTCAGTTGGCTGCCACCACAGCCGAGATTCTGAACATACAGTAAGGAGTATGCGTGTACGTGAACGTGTGCGGGTGCATGTGTGTGTGTGTGTGTGTGTGTGTGTGTGTGTGTGTGAAGTTACTGCCCTAAGGTGTCTTGCTAGTGATGGTTAGTTATATGCCATGGAGAGGCAGGAAGGATAAGTAATATGTTGAACCTGTTTATACAGTGATGCAATGGAGACCTAAGAGAAGTTGAAGACTTTCTGTTCTTCAACAAAAAATAATGTTACTAAAAGCTAATGATAGTTCCCAGACTCCAGGGCTAGACCCCTAGACCTTGGACTTTGGGTGAATTGTCTGAAGTCGTGTCTGGAAGCCCAAGAATAAACCATCCATGAGAGAAGGGCAAGTGCTACAGGGCTCAGCTCACCTATTTTGCTTATGGCCAGAAATCACCAAGAAGACTGGACAGGGCAGCTGGAAGGTGGAAAGAGGAAAATGGTGGCACCTTCTCACCCAGTAGCTCTGCTTAGATGAGGAAGCAAGAGTCTGAAAGATTAACCTCAGTTTAATATGATGAACTATAGATACAGTTTTAGATCAATGGAACTCTTTCATTTTCTCATTCTAACATCCTAAATGAGCATTTTACTCTTTTGTATGTCTGGAACCCTAAAATGCTTGAGAAAAAATTACTTGAGAGTATGTTAATTTCATGAGGTTTTAGAACTTGACTTAGCCTGTATGTACAGAAAAGTGGCTTCTAGCTCTGGCTGCAGGGAGAGTCTCTAGGGGAGCTTGTTTAAGCCATGGTGGTGGTGAGAGGGGCCATCCCAGGCCAACTGAGACAAAACCTCAGGGTGGGGTCCTGGGCGTCAGGATGTTTTTTTGTTTTGTTTTAAGTTCCCCAAGGAGATTCTGATGTGCAGCCTACCTTAAAAAGCACTGATAAAGATACTTAAGAGTCACTGTCTTTATCTTCCCTAGCCATCCTGGAAGCCTCTATGAATGGCGAGGATTATAAGGTTGAGGCATTTTACCAGGTATTAAGGCAGGTGATGGCTTCCCCTGAAAACACCTTGTGCTATCAGGGAGCAAGCAGTTTTCATCGCTCAGCAACCATAATTAGCAAGTCATTGCTGTTGTAATGATAGTAATCAGGTGTTCTATAGACAATAGAGGGGCATTATTATCCCCTAACAAGGAGTACTGAGAAAGAAAATCAATGGGCAATCCAAGATGTTTCTAGCTTTCATTTTTGTTTCAGTGTTTTCCCTTACAAGCCTTCAGAAGATTTGTTGACTCAATCAAACAGTCTTATTCAGTTGCCCTTCCTCTTCTTTCCCCTGCTTATGCTTGGGCTGGTATAGATAAAACACGGTTAAGAAAAGATTCTCCAGATGTTCCTTACTTTTAGGTCAATGGAAGGAAGGCTACCCAAGGGCCTGGGTGGCTGATAGACTGTTAACCAACTCTCATTCTGTCTGTCCTCAGCTAGAGATCCAGAAGCTTTTGTTTTGTTTTGTTGTTTGTTTGTTTCACCCTTCCCTCTTCTTCCTGCTACTCATTCTCTCATTTCCCTCTGCTCTTCCTTTTGTAACAGGAGTGTAGGTCGTGCTGTGAAGGAATGATCTGCAATGTGGAATTACCCACCAACCACACTAACGCGGTCTTCGCCGTAATGCACGCTCAGAGAACGTCTGGGAGCAGTGCCCACACGCTCTGCCTGCCAGCGCTTGCCTGGGTTTTCATGCTTCCGTTGATATGATGCCACCATTCCTAGGAGAGACAGAGCCCAGCCCTCTGACGCACAAACTAAAAACTGTGTAAACAGCGAACTTTTGAGTGAAGAGCAATCTTGCAATTGGTGAAGAGTACACATTGGACTCAAAGCAGAAGACAGTTGTTTGCTTGGTTAAAAAGCTCTTGCATGAGGCCATGATATTCGGGAAGGGAATTTGGCCCGGACTGAGGGCATTATCTGGCTTCCAGGCTTCCTGGTCAAAGAGGCTGCATTTTGTCACTTTTGCAGGAAGGATCCTGCCAGCACCCACAATGGACAGGCTGTAGTAGCCTATGTTGTCCCCACCTGACCAGGCCTTTAGCTGAAAGGACTCCTTGACCTCATTGATCCTTTCAGAAGCTGCTGGGTCAGATCTTCTCTTTCTGTGATTAGTTCAGAGTGTCTCTGGGAAGTTTAACCCTTCCCCCGGTGAAAAAGCAATGTGTGCTAATTGTGTGTGTGTGGAGGAGAATAAAGCTTTTAAATTATGCAGAGTAAAATGCATGCTTGGGTGTTGCCTGACTGACATGAAGATCTCAGATGAAACACATTTACCAGTGTCATAACGGTGGTCACTGAAGTTATGCTTTACACACACCCTGGGGGATATTTTCTGGCTTAAACTATAAAACGTCATGCCAAAGTGACTTAGTATTTTCTTTTTGGGGAAGTACACTTCTTAGAATGCTAAATGCAAAGTATGTGAATTTAGAAGGTCAGGAAACCTTCCTGATGAAGGAGGATGATATCTTATCACACGATGAACCCTTAGGAGTAGCAGATTAAAGTCAGAGAACCTAGCAAGACGGTCCCTCTTCCCCGCAGTCAGCTTCTCTCTGGCAGGGCCACCAAGAAAACTTTCTAAAAACATCCTAAAACATTGTGTCCCCATATCTCCTTCTCTTTCCCATTTTGAACAGTCTCAGAATGTCAAATAAGCACCTTCTTTTTATTCCTAGAATCCTGATTTCCTGCCTTTACACTTTGGGGTGATCTTTAAACACTCTGCCCTTGTATGCATAGTGATGAGTTAATAGAGTCTTTGTGTTTTATTGAACATCCACCATTAGGACACCCAGTGCTCCATAGTACCCATTAATGATACTATCCTTGCCATGCACACTCACCTATGATGAGGGTTGGTAAATTATGGCCCATGGGCCAAATATGCCTCACTGTTCTTAGTCTGCTAGACTGCTGTAACAAATATACTTTTAATTGAATGACTGAAACAAAAACATTTAATTCTCACAGTTCTAGGTGCTAGAAAGTCCAAGATCAAGGTGCCAGCAGATTGTGTCTGATGAGGGCCCTCATCATGGTTTGCAGAACACCATCTATTTGTATGATCTCAGGGCAGAAAGCAGGGAGAGAGCTCCATTCCCTGCATTCCCTTATGAGGGCACTAATCCATTCATGAGGGCTCTACATTCATGACCTAATTATCAAAGGTCCCGCATCCAAATACCATCACATTAGGTATTCAACATATGAATTGGGGTGGAGGGCACAAACATTTAGTCCATATCAACTACCTATTTTTGTGACTAAAGTTTTATTGGAACACAGCCATGTCTTTTCACTTACATATTGTCTAGGGCTGCTTTCATGCTACAACAGGAAGGATGAGTAGATAGATGCAATCTCAAAGGTCCCACATCCAAATACCATCACATTAGGTATTCAACATATGAATTGGGGTGGAGGGCACAAACATTTAGTCCATATCAACTACCTATTTTTGTGAATAAAGTTTTATTGGAACACAGCCATGTCTTTTCATTTACATATTGTCTAGGGCTGCTTTCATGCTACAACAGGAAGGATGAGTAGATAGATGCAATAGATGCCGCAGAGTGTGTATGGCCGACTAAGTCTAAAAGTTGTACAATGAGTAGATAGATGCAGCAGAGTGTGTATGGCCGACTAAGTCTAAAAGTTGTACTGCCTTGTCCTTTACAGGAAAATCGCCGACCTCTAACCTGTGAAATGGCAAAACTGCATTGGGAGAAAGCTGCTTGCTTTGCAGGGCCTGTGATGCTCATGGTGGTTACTCAGCCTGGGAAGGGCTTGCCAGGTCACTTTGCTTATTTTCTCTGTCTTCTGCATCAGTGCATTTTTCTTCTCTGTTTTGTTTGTCCCACTCATTTGATTCAGTCTCTTAGTAGTAATGTGCTGATGTCAGGGGCTGGGCCGTGTGCTTGTTTTTTCTTCTCTTTGATGCAATGGGAGGGTCTCAACTTAAGGCTCTTCAGCCTCCAATAAAACAGGGAGGAGGCAGACATCATTATCTCCCTGCTTATGGTTGAATAGTAGACTCACCTGGAAGCATCGTTTTGAAGCCTGATACAGATTTATCCCACCTCTCACTCAGCACCTTGAAGTATTTGAGTTTTTGTAGCTGTGCTTGTTTGAAATTAATTATATATGGCTTCACTTGGAACAGTTTAATAGCATCTTTGCTGTCTTCTTATTCCTCAGGGTTTCTTTTGACTGTGTAATTGACGAATTGTCTGGTGAAAAACCATTAGCAGACATTTTCTTTCTGACTTTGTTTCTGCTGTCTGGATTAATGAATTTTCCTTTGTGTGTGTGTTTTCTTTCTTGAGGAAACATCTTAATTTTCTCTTCTTCACCCCCACACATTGTGTTTTTATGGATTTCACTACTCATCACCACTTCCATAAGCATCTAAACTAGAGCTATATTGAGCAAAAGAGGGAACGTACAGAGAAAACTCACTCCTGGCAAAGATGGCCTAGTAAGTACAGGTGCCAGATTTCCAAATAAAGACATGGAATGAGCCATTGAACCTGAATTTTAGACAAACAACAAACACTTTTTTATATATGGCAGTGTTTCAAGTCTTTGTAATAAATCAGAATCTTCTGCATAACTCATAACAATAAAATTCCTAGGGCTTCCTAGTGGTATTGATTCAGTAGATCTGGGATGAAGTGCAAGTTTAACCCCAATAATTGAATGTTAAAAAAAAAATGAAGCTCTCAGGTGAGTGTGATGTTCAGCTCTTCTCCTTAGCCACATAATAGAAATGCTAATGAATACTAATATGTGCACAAGTAACTGGGTAAAAGCTCAGGGCTCTCCCAGACCAGCAGGATCAGATTACCTAGAAACTCATTAGAAATGCAAATTCTCCATTTCAGACATTGACTCAGAAACTCTGGGGGTTCAGTCTGTATGTTAGTAAGGCCTCCAGGTGCTTCTGATGCACACACAAGCTCAAGAACTCCTGGACCCGAAAAGTGGTTCCCAAATGTCTTCCGTAAATGGGTCCCTGGTGGCTGTGTGAGAATCACACGGGGAACTTGTAAAAAAGAGAGCGAGAGAAGAAGGAGAAGGAGAAGGAAATAAAGAAAAAGAAAAGAGCCAGGCTGGCAGGCTTAGTGGTGGAGCATTGACCTATGAACCTGGAGGTCACAGTTCAATTAAAAAGTGGTTCCCAAATGTCTTCCGTAAATGGGTCACTGGTGGCTGTGTGAGAATCACACAGGGAACTTGTAAAAAAGAGAGCGAGAGAAGAAGGGGAAAGAGAAGGAAATAAAGAAAAAGAAAAGAGCCCGGCTGGCATGGCTCAGTGGTGCAGCATTAACCTATGAACCTGGAGGTCACAGTTCAATTCCTGGTCAGGGCACATGCCTGGGTTGTGGGCTCGATCCCCAGTGAGGGATGTGCAGGAGGCAGCCAATCAATGGTTTTTCTCTCATCGTTGCTGTTTCAATCTCCCTCTCCCTCTCCCTTCCTCTCTGAAATCAATAAAAATATATTTTTAAAAAAGAAAAAGAAAGAAAATGGAACTCCAGAGAGTTAGATTTGTTACATTTGAGTTGCGACAGAAAATCTGCATTTTTAAGAAACTCTTAATCCTGATACACAGCCACTTTGGGAGCCATTCAACTAGAGAATAAGAGATGGGCGAAATGTTGGTGACCAGAAGGCCCAGATTCCAACACCTGACCTTTGAGTTCTAATATAAACATCCCATGCATTATAAGTTGACTCTATGTGGTGTCTCCAATGTAATTTAAAATCTAGGATAAAAAAAAATAGATCCACCCATTAGAGTCCATGGATTTTTTTTTTTTTTAGTCCATTATATAAGGACCTGGGATGGCCACGCACCCCAGGCCTCAGACTAATTTAATTTGCCTCTAGTGAGCAAGAAATGAAGTTCTTGTCATCAAAATGTGCAATGAGAATTGGGGTAGTGGGGGCAGGAAAGGAGGGGAATGTGTGGGTTTGTTGTAATAAAAGGCACAAGGGGATTTGCTGTGAATATGAGGAGGGTCTGAGGGAATGGCCTGTCAAGGTCCATTTCGAATAGATCTGCATTCCAGAATAAACTTTGAATTCCCATCCATCACTTATTTTCCAACAAAGAAAGAAAATGGTACCAAAACATCCTCCACCACCGCCACCTCCACCCCCACCCCCACCCCCAGAAATAACTAAACTCTTCCTAAACCCAACTCAGGGTAAGTTAGAAATTGCAGCCATTGTTTTCCGTACAGTCTGCACTCTGTCATGTCAGTCACTGTGTAAAACGTATTTCATAAGGAGAGGGAAGGGGTGGGTCGCTTTTGCTTTCTCGCTGGGAAAGAACTTACAAAGCTCAAAGCGTGGAGTGAGTAATAGGAAGTGGCTTGGACTTGGGAGGTGAGGTTGAAATCTATCTCAGGTTTGTGAAATTGCTAACTAGCACACAAATGTGTTGTGACTGCTCGATTGCCGTCTTATAAAACCTTGCTCTGACCTTTGCGGTTTGGACCGATCATTTGTGATGGGTACCCTGCGATTTGTGGGGGGTTCCATTGTGATGCTGGATATGCCCGCGTCAAAGTTACACCAGAAGACAAAGGCTGGTGGTGGATGTGCACAGGTGAGTGTTATAGAAACTGGAAAACCAATGGCTGACAGAATTTGAGTCTGCCTTTAGGTGGCGTTCCACTCCTGTGCCCCCGAAACAGTCCAGCATCTCTGTCCCGCTTCCCACTTTTCCCTTTGCCTTCATAGTTTTGCCTCCTTCCCAACCCCCTCCCTCATCGTCTTGGCCTCGGAGCTGTCTTTGAAGGAATCCGGAGTGGGAGATAACCATGGATTCAGCTGTGAAATATAAGACTTACACGGCCACATCACGAATCTGCACTTTGAACAAGCACCTGATCACAATACTGGTGATTCTGATACTGGCAGTCTTAGGGCATCGTTTTAGAAACAGTAACACAGGGCCTCTGCATGAGGCTGGAAATGCGTAAGGTGAGAGCATCACCCAGTTCCTAACCCTCTGCACGTGCTCTTTTCTGGTCCATGGACACCTGGAGGCACTGGCTTGGCAGAGCGGCTGCGTCGAGCACAGTCCTGGGAAGCCTGGGACATGTGGGAGCCGAGGGAAACCCGGAGGCTCTCCCAGGCGAGCAGGATGCCCAGGACTCTGACCATCCGCTGGGCTCCCTGCCGGTCATGGCTGAGTGAGGCAGTAAGGAGCAAGGTAAAGGGCAAGGTGAGCCCATCCACAGGGACTGAGCCAGGGGTCCTCAAACTTTTTAAACAGGGGGCCAGTTCACTGTCCCTCAGACCGTTGGAGGGCCGGACTATAGTTTTTAAAAAAACTATGAACAGATT